ATATATATGACTGATATTGATAAAATAAAATTCAAATCCCATAAGAAACCTGGGCTATTACAAAAGAAGACAGGAGCTGCTTCGTCTTCATTAAAGCTTCACTTCTAGTCTGGAAGCTTATCAAGACACGACCCATCACTGCAACATTATGACTTGTTAATCTTAGTCCTTGGTGGTCCCATACATTCCCTAAATTCATTATTATGAGAGGTACCGGTATATAGGCCTAGTTAACTTATACAACAACAATAGTAATAGCCTAACAACAGCAACAGCACTAGATGCAGCTGTGTGTTACCAGAGAGTCTGGTGTTACTTTAACTTACCTTCCCAAGTGATGTCAAACTTCTTCCCTATCAGACCAGGGAATGCAGAGGCTATTTTGCCAGCCATGGTTTTGAACATGGCACTGCCTGGCTGCAGGAGTAGGCTCACTCGCCTCACCTCCCTGTTGCCGTCTGCGTCTTGCAGGAAAGCTTTCACTGTCACTTCCATTATTCTCGTCGGCTTTTCTGACCGATTTGATAGACGGATTGAGATGACGTCAGTAATTTTAGATTTTTCTGTTGAAGACAGATACATTGTTAAATTTAGTAACTTTAATAAGTATAGAATATAGGTCTATACAAAAAAGGGGAGAGAGAGAGAGAGAGAGAGAGAGAGAGAGAGAGAGAGAGAGAGATATTATTGGCCCAACCTGGGCAGAGAGACCGCATAATATTTAACTCAATAAGGCCTGGAGAACTTGAGGCGAACAGCAGCCTTCGCACAGGAGACTGGGATGTGTCCATTTAAAGATGAAGGAGAAGAAGATTATTATTTTATTTTTTAAAACACATTTATTTGGAGAGGGGGAAAATGCCCTATGGATTAACATCACGAAGAGAACACACAAAATACAGGAGGACCAAAACTCTTTTTCTTAGGGTTGGTGGTTGCTGGCCGAGTCAAGGCTGTCATGAAAACGGCCGTAGGAGAGAGAGAGAGAGAGAGAGAGAGAGAGAGATTACTGGCCCAACCTGGGCAGAGCTAGAGACCCACAACTCTCAACGCAATAATAATTTAAGGCCTAAACGAGGACCTGAGGCGAACAGCAGTCTTCGCTTTTATATTCGTATGTGTCCATTTAAAGATGAAGTAGAAGAATATTGAGAAGGAAAAAAAATTTGGTGAGGGGAATAAAAAGCCCTTTAGATTAGGCCAAGCAGCACGAAGAGAACACACAAAACACAGGTGTACCAAAACTCTCAGGGTTGGTGGTTGCTGGCCGAGTCAAGGCTGTGTCACGAAAACGCCCGCAAGCTGCTAGCATAGTGCGCTTGGCGCTTACCCACAAGCACACACGCACAAACATACAACACACACACGAGAGAGAGAGAGAGAGAGAGAGAGAGAGAGAGAGAGAGAGAGAGAAAGAGAGAGAGAGACTAAAATCGGAAGGGGGGCAGAAAAAAACATAGGCCAGGTCTGTATGGGGTGAGTAGGCCAAGTCCATCTTCTCCAACGATTGTAATTGTTGAAGTGTCCTCCACTTTACAGAGTACCGCTAGACCCTACCGTGTGTGTGGTTTGTGCATTGGTGTAGCTTGCTAGGCCTACTGAAACTGCTATCGAAGAGAGAGAGAGAGAGAGAGATCAAGGCTAAGAAAACAGGGTGATCGGCAAATTTTAGAAAATGAATTGCGAGAAGACCGGAAGAAATACTTACCTCAGCAATGGCTCGAGTCTCGGCTGTAGCTTGGTAGAAAATGCTGCGCTGAAAAAATTCGGCTTAAAGTGTTGTCTGGAGGTTCGTAGTCTTGGGAGCAGCGGTGAGTGTTGATCTGACTGCGGAGCTGCGCACGAACCTTTTATACTCGGACGCCTGCGTTGTGGCTGATGAAATCGTTGTGCAATCTGTCGCATGACTCATTGTCATACGACCTCTGCGCATTCACGTGGCCAGCTGCGTGGCTGGAATTTTCCTACGATCTTAAAATAGATTAGGGGCTATTTCAAAGTTTTAATAATAGACCTTATATAATATAAAAAGGCAAGTCTAATGCCATTAAAATCAATAAAAATAGAATGCTCCATATTTTGAATACTTCAATTTTTAAAACTACACCATGTAATTTCAGATGTAATTAAAGTATTATGAGCAAAAAGAGCAGAATTTCAGCTCCGCTTGAGCCGAAACATTTAGATCTATTATTTACTTTGAGATGACCCCCGTGCCCATCGACCTTCGAAAATGCGACGTCACTGCCTGCGTTCTGCTAGTCATGCATCCGGTCCTGCGCAGAGGCCTGTTGAGAAAAAGTACGACGCAGTTTCTTCGCATGACTCATGCTCGCTGTGGCAAAACCATTTCGCGCAGACACAAACAGAGTAGCCTAGGGGAGCGTTCCCCTTTCTATGATCATAATCGCTGGAATTTTCGAAAACATTCTATAATGATAGTGACTGCAGTGGCTGCGTCAAAAGCAAGTTTGAATCATGAGCATGGAAATTGGCCAAATTATGCTGTCATTCTGTTTGTTTTTGGATGGTTATTATCATTTTTAGATAATGTCAGTGTGTGACCTAATATTGGGTTAGGCTTGATAGATCATTTAAATGTTTAAGAAGCACAAAAGCTCAGATCCAATGCGCCAATCCTTAGCGCTTATTGTTTATAAACTTTAGTATCTTCACAGGTTAAAAATTAATTAAGACTTTCCTTTGCAGATTTCGTGTATTCGCGCATCAAAGTTGTACCCCTCTGTGTGTCTGAGTGCGTGATCAGGTACACGTGTGTGTGTGTGCAGGCTCTTTGTGTGTGTGTG